GAACAAACGAATGAACGAACAAACGAAAAACAACAACAGACGCTTGATATTTACCTTGAAAAGCCAGGGTAACGGTGCTAGGATACGGTGCCTGTAGCTTCAGAACATCTTGACAATACAAGACAAGGTTAGCTGACACTCCATAAAAAGTCAGTCTCTCACATAACTCAGTTACCAGGATGCACAATACAGTGATCAGACGAACTCGAGTACCTCTTGTAGAGGTCACGCCAGCACCACCTTCTGCTTGGCCTATGAGTGGATCTCTCTCATTGATTGACAGCTCAGAGCTGTTGGAACTCGTAATAGTGGCAGCCATGGCTTTATTTCATCACTGTTCAATTAAGATAATTGATTAGGCTTTAGTCTTCATCAAAACTTGGATGCACCTTTAGCTTTATTCTGATAAGGTTGTCCACATTAGTATTCTTTATCTAAAGAATACTAATAAGGATGAGTCCTTATATAAAGTTTCATCCTCATTAGTATTCTTTATATAAAGAATATTAATAAGGAAGAGACTTTATCGGGTATAAAGGTCCATGCACGTGACGTGTATGGTGGCTCCAATTGGACCAAAGTCTTATGAATTATTCATGAGTTTTTGAAGTAATATATACAATATGAGTGGCCGTGTAGTATCAGATATACAACCACGAGCCGAAGGTGACACGAATATTGTATATTACTTATGAAACGTCTAGGTKTATACATTCATGTTCTACTRTAGTTTTAAAGATAAAATTGAATTTGGCTAAGAAAATTGGAGTTAAAGTTTATGCAAATCAGGACGATTTTGTGTCAGATATACAACTCCTYCACGGACAATGATTTCTATTGTGTGTTCCTCATTAATTATTCATGWGTTTTATAAAGGTTAATACTGCTCAAGTTTATGTGAGCAGCAAGTGTGGCTAGAGAATTTTAGAGCTCAGTTTATTTACCCTTTAGCCTTGAACCTGATTGGTTGGTTAGATAWAATAAGGGTAAGTTGATCGGCCAATYAAGTAGCGGTGTTTCTGATTCTGTAYTAACGCGCTTGCACAACGTTCATGGCGCAACTGGTGCGTRCCATTTGTAGTTATGGTTGATCAGAAAGGGTAGAATCAATGGCTTCAAAACTTATACAGTTCTAAACGAATAAGTAGTATTTGCCGGTTGTTTGTGGATTAMTAGAAAGAATCCGATAACTGAGCTTGAGACATAGATGTCCGAAAGGACTTGCTTACGCGGGCATGTGAGATTTTAAAAATCAAAGTGTTATAATATTGTCACTGCCCTGCCGATATGCTCAATGAGTTTAAAAACTACAAAAATTCGATAGAATTATAAACTGAGCTCTGAAGTCCTTTGGCCACACTTGCTGCTCACATAAATTTGAGCATTATTAACCTATAAAAGCAACTGACGAAGATAGATATATAATATTTATCGAAACCGGTATTGCTACTCAAAACAGAACCTTAAAAGGATATTTCCTGCCTGATCCTCCTTTCGTCTCTTACAAGAGGAATAAATCGCTTAAAGACTCGCTAGTCAGAGCGAAAATCCCGAAAAGAGACTAGATATAATTCTAACGAATTTTTGTAGTTTTTAAACTCATTGAGCATAGCGGCAGGGCAGTGRCAATATTATAACACTATRAGTAAAATAGATTAAACTTAGCTTTTTAACATGAGACATTTCTTTGCCTCAGCATTCAATCACACCACTAGAAAGTGTCGAGAAGACTCACGAGATGTAGTGTTGCTTGCGATGTTTTCGTGAAGGGAAAGACCTTACATCATTACACCCTGCAAGAATACAGAGGTCATTGTTGTTCCTCTCCGAGGTACAMGTACACTGGTTGGAGAAAAAGCGGGTTTTTCTTGGCATGAGACGATTGTTCTACTGATGAAGGAAGAAGTATGTAATTTCTTTCCTGGCATAAGAGAAACTTCCGTGTTTCAATATCACTTCAGCATAAACAATCCGCTTCTCATGGGGTTGTCACGGGTTTGAATTAAACAAGAACGGCAAAACAAGGTTCTATTTTCTTGTGGTTTTAATACTACTTACCAGCAGTAGAAGTAATTCTAGTCGAAGCGCGAAGAACAATATTCAGATCCACGACCATCACGCGTGACGGGTTTCTCTGCTCTCGCTCTGTAATGGTTTCTTGAGTGGCTCGTTTATAAAGTGCGTGACATGTGTCTTGCCTGTGCCTCGTTCACTTCAATAGCCCGCTTCCGAGATATGCTTCGCTYGTCACGCACAAAGGTTTCAGTACGAGGCTACRTGCTAATTGCTCAGTCATTCGTGACAGGCGGTAAGAATAARTTTAATTTAGCACGTAGCCTCATACTGAAAACTTTGTGCGTGACAAGCGAAGCATATCTCGGAGGTGGGCTAATTACTACTGTGCAGCTAAGTCAGGGTTTAGTGAGGATACTATAGAGTGCAAACAATTAGAGTGCACGCACTAAAACCGTGAACATTAAATAGTACTAATTAGTACTATTTCATGCAGAATCCTTTGTTTTCCATTGTTTGATAAATTAATTATCACTATTTAGTGCTAAAAATTAGTATTTGTTTCACGGATTTAGTGTGAGCACTCTAATCTATGAAACACTAATTACTAAATAGTACAAAATAGTGCTAATTAAACAATAGAAAACGATATGGAATTTGCATTAAATTGTGCTATTTAGTATTACTAAAGTTTCACGGTTATATTTTTTGCACTCTATTGCAACAACATATGTATACAATCAATGAATAATTTGCTGGGACCTTGTATCGAACAATTTAGGGTTTACTGATGGATCAAATGTTTCGATCAAACAGTGGGATTATTAAAATTACCGATTTTGAAGTGATGGATCCATTTAGAATAAATCACGAACTTTATGGGATCGGCAATCAAAAGTTTGGATAACAATGAGCCGGGATCATTAGAAAAACTAAAACTCAAATTCAAAGGATTTAAAAAATAAATATAATAAAAAAATGAATATGATATTGATGGACGCAATGTTTTATCACATTGTTTATTACCAATAAACAATGTAAATATGTGCCTTGTGCCCTCCTTACAAGGAGGTAGGAGTAGTCTCCACCAGGGATATCCTAGTTATAGAGCTACCCTTCTCTTTTACATGTTTCCTCTCATTACAAGCGCACCCGGGTTACCCTAGTGATAGAGCTACCTTTCTCTTTGGCATGTTTCCTCTTATTACAAGCGCACCCGGGTTACCTTAGCGGTCATGGCAGAGTTACCCTGTCTGTTTGATTGAGTAACCCTTCTGCCCGGTTTAAGTTTTTCCCTCGTAAAGTCTTGGCTAGGGATAACCCGTCTTCGAATTCTGGGTCAACTTTTTATAGATTATCAAACCTCTTGTATCAATTAAGAATAACTTCACCATATATTATCACAAACTACTGCTGAATCGCAATATTAAGAAGTAAAATACATTCAAAAGTCACAATTTCACATTGTTAAGCAATTCCCTACCGTGAACAACTTGGCATATGAAAAATGCAAGCAATATAATGAAAATCAAACCAAACGAAAATATGTAAATGCCAAGCGAAAARCATAAACGCAACGTAGAGATGTTTCGTTTTTAGTTAACGTTTTCACTTTATTTATCGTAATGTTCTTGGTAAAGGCCAAGTCACTTGGACCCACAGTTCAAAAAGTCTTGAATCAAATTTTATTATATAATATTATGCATTATACATGTATATCATAGAGGAGGGAGTGAGAGCTAGTCTCCACTAAAGAATCCCTGTCAAAGTGATGCATGAACAATTGTGTTGTCACATTAAATAATATTTTTAGAAAGAACCTTTGACAAAATCAAATTAACAACAACAGCAACAGCGCGAACAACGATCATGACAATAATACATGAATGATCCTCATTGTACCCTGCGAGCAGAGGTTTTTTTCTGACCCTCCTTGGAGCTCGCAGAGGTTATCCTCAGTGATGATATTGGTGCTAGATTCGACTAATCTAATCTGATTGTAAAGCTTGATTTTTCATGCTGCTGCTCATTTGATGTTCTTCGATCGTGAAACAGACAAACAGACTAGGCCCGTTCGTCCTCCCTCTCTTGCTGTCCCATCCTCCTCTGAGCCCTGTACGTCATGCACGAACTAAACAACAAGTACAGCAACGTTACCATTATTATTATCAAAAGCACCGTATAATAACTTGTTACAATCCAGTAAGCAAGCTTAAAAGTCGTTTCATGACAGTAGAGATCGCTGGAGCTTTCGCTTGGAGTTATCGGTTTCGATGTTGTCTGGCCTCTGTTTCTAGCCATCTGTGTTACCCCTTCCTCGAGCTCAAAACTAGGGTTTGTCTGATAGATATATATACTACTCAACACCAATAAAATGAAAAGAATGTATAGCAAAGGATCCCAAGACATCTTATCTCCGTTTTCTGGTGATGGTTGATCTGGTGTACAGTGCTTGCAGATTAATCGTCCGAAACATTCGACTAACTGAAGCAATCCTCCAATGATTAGGAAAATAGGGATTCGTGGTTCGATAGGGCAGTCATCCAGATGAGTAATACCTAATAATGAAATAATAATTTCAATTCTTGGTCTTTATCGATCACATTTAAAAAAATGAGTTCTGCTCATACTAGACCCTGGAACTGAGCTTATCTAAGCAAGAGAAGGCTCGTTCGTCGATCGAATTCCATCTCAAAATAATCTTAAATATGATACAGGGCCGTGACCAGGGTTTTGCATGCAGGGTGAGTGTGTACATGATCAATTAAATTGAAATATGTCTAATAATGATAAATAATAATAATAATGGGATTAGCAATGGATTCCACAGAGTGGCTCTTCCTCCACTGGATTCCAATTGGAATTTAGAAGTTGATTTTTTTGCGGAGGGAGGAAAGCCGGAGAACCCGACAAACCCTCGAAGCACAGGAGAGAACCAACAAACAACTCAACTCACATACAACACGTGCACCGAGCTCGTCGGGACTCGAACCCGGGTCGCATTGGTCGCTCTCACCGCTACGCCACCCATGCTTCCCGTCATACCTAAACTAAAAGCCATCACCTTAAGAATTGCTAAGAAGTGAGCGGACTTTCAGCTTGCACGGGGTGGGTGGCTGGTGGTACACTCAATGCACCCACCCCCTGGTTTTGACCCTGTGAGGCTACTGATGGAAATACAAAAGATCACTTAGTCTTTTGTATTTTCATGCTGGCTTTATATCCAAGATCATTTTAAGAAGGGTCCATTTTCAGCTTGTTAGAATTTGCGGAGAGAGAAAAACTTGGAAAACAAGCATTGAGAGACTTTACAAACTCTACTCACATGAGATTCATGCCGAGACCCAGAATCAATCCGAGACCCCTGAGTCAAAAAGCGAGTGTATCTACAGCAACCTTGATTCATGAGGTCAGCAAAAATTGTTGTCTAGCGCTCACGCTAGTTTGGCGGTTAGCGCGCAGTTCATCCAAATTTTGAAATGAGAACCTTTGAACTCATGATAAATCAATGCTCCATTTTGATGGTCCAAATTTCTCTGATGTCTTACTTGATATTAAAGTACTTACCTTGAATCACCATGGCAACAGGAAGCACAATCGCAAAACCAACAAAAAACAATCCAATTGCTTGAAAAAAAAGATATTTGAAAATGAAGTCAATGTTTATGTATAAACGTTTTAAAAGAAATCTTTTCACATGACCTTGGAATTTTTTTGGTTACTCTCGTTTTATAGCTAGCATGTGAAAGTATTGCTTGAGGAATTGAGGATAAGAAGAAAGCGAGGGAAGGAATTAAGGAGAGAGACGTATCAGTTTAATGGGGTGATCGGGGAACTCGAAAAAATAGTGTATGTGTAAGCAATGGATTACTTTGACGATACGGCGGCCATCTTGGATCACGAGGGATTTTGAGGCGTACAGCCGGGGCAAATAAAGCTTTGTTGCAATAATGACGTCGATCGATACATAGTTAATAGAGGGGAATGGTTATCAAACCTTGTTCGCTTTTGATGTTGAACTGGTCTTGACAGTGCGCAATGTTTGATTTATGCTCATCCGAAATTGCAAAATAAGTAAACATAAACTTTGTCTATGGGATTGTTGTAAGGAATATTCAAATATCTCTTATAAATCTTTAAGTATTTTGAACTAGCAGCCATAAAGAAAGATTTTGGTCTGTTCACTCAGCCATTGCCAACAATGGTAAAACAATGGTAAAACAAGGGATTGTGCACTGTCACGCTTGAAAAAAGTGAACAAAGACATATATGACAAAAGGGTTTCCTAACCATTCCCCTCTATTAACTATGATCGATATGAACAGYCGACCACAAGATTATGCAACAAAAGATAAACTAAGACGGTACGTACATCGGCCACTCTTACGCATAAAAGAAAGACAAACACACGAAACTCTATTTATTTTCCGTCATCTTTGTTTTGCTTTGGTTACCTGGCAAGATGGCCGCCGTATCGTCCAAGTAGTCCATATTGTTTCCTATAATACACTGTCTCAATTTGTCTCAATGATGAAACGCACGCTGTAATTGGCTGAGGTGAGAAGATATCTAGGAATAGGAGAGCTTAAATAATATACATACCACAGAACTTTGCCATCCTTTTGTGTGTGCATTCCTGAGAATAGTCGCTTGTTGTGGAATGGATAGACATTTGTCGTACTGTATGTCTCATTCTGTTGCTGAACAGCTCCCTGTAACTAGGAGGAGGATCTAAAAAAACATGTTATGTATATTCAGTATGCTAATATATATTTAGGCACTACCTAAAAGCGGAGCTCCCGATACGGAAGCCACAGGGAGCCAAGTTCTAATGAAACTGAAGGGTAAAAATAAGATCGGAAAAAAAATCTTCCATTATTTTTTATTCGAGATGAAGATAATTTCTCCCATAATAAAAACCATGCATTGAAATCGAATATTTATTTAAAGCCCTCTGATTAGGCAAATCGCGTGCCTAATATAGCTGCTTTTCATTAAACGCTGTCTTGCTGTGGACGTTTGAATCTGAATAATTTTGTGATCCATACTGTTTGACGAGATCGTAAAAGGAGGACCATTCATTATTCGGCATCTTGTTCTGCATCTTCGCCGCGTATTATCTTACCGTTGGGAATAAGTAAGTGAATACGGCCTAACACTGCTGAAGCCTGAAAACATTCCGGGTCAGGCTGAGAATGGGATATGAACCCATGACCATTGCGATATACGGGAGAAACGCTTCAGCAATGTTAGCCGGCCTTATTCACTTACTTTATTCTCTCTCTATTTCTGCTTCTGATACAACACAGCGGCGGATCCAGGAGTGGTAATATAGGTGACTAGTCATCCCCCCCCCCCCTTTTGCTCAAATTTCTCAATATTTCGTTAGTAACAGTCACCCCTCTTTTCCTTAAATTCCTGTTAAAACCTTTGTAATAGTCGCCCCCCCCCCTCTCTAAAATTCCTGGATCCGCCCCTGCCACATTATCCATTCTCACGAATCATCGACATTATCCATTCTCATATATTATAATCTTACCATTGTTTATAATAGAAGCAGATTCATTCGCCTGAAACCCATAATTCATGTGAGATGGTCCACCCCCGGGAATAATATCGAGGGACGAATCGAGCGACGAGTAGTGAGGGGGAGGTGTTTCAATAGTTTGCTTAAAGACACGTCCATCTGTTTGATTCTCCCTACGAACATTAGATAACGCTGGTATTTTAGGCACGCCATGCGTATCTCTCGATGTTGTCGAAGACATCTTTGTATATTGCGAAGATTTCCACTGGACGCTGAATGAACGTTTGAACATGCGCAGACCGCGTGGACTACTTCTTGCTTTAGTACTTGTTGCTGTTCGATTTCCCATGTGGGATGAATTTGGTACTGATTTTGATCTCTGAATGCGACTTAAGTTCCAGTTTTTGCCCCGACGTACGAATATTGGCAATTCTTTCGGGRTGTCACGATCGGTAGTGTTGGTACTGCTGCATGATGGGATGTCTTCTACCTCGGGCACTTCTTGAGCACCTTCGTTTTCTAAAGCCATTCTCAACTTTAATAGATATCTTGTATAATGCACTACTAGTAACGGTCTTGTGAGACTTTGGTTAGGCAAAACCAGCAAGTCGGATATGGATTTGAAAATGGCTCGCTAAAAAAAAGAAAAAACGTGAAACAGTAATAAGTGAAACGAAGTACAAACAAAGCAAGAACGATCGAATAAAGAAAGAAAGAAAGAAATAAGAGGGAAAAAAGAACAAACGCAATAAAGCTCTGGAACGAACCAAATAAACGAACGTAACGAACGAGCAAACGAACGCCCAACGAACGAAAAAAAAAAAA